GCAAACTGTACTGTTAAGCACTTTGAGTGGTCATCAAGACTAGAAAAGCTCTATATAAATACAGACCAAACCTAACTTTGAACTAGTTCCTTTTAATTGTAACTGGCACAACACTACTGCACAAAAGTCAGCATTGAAAGGCAGAAGTAATAGAACTGGATCATGACACTCCTGTGACCAATCCTGTGTGAGACTGAGGTTAAGACCACCTTTCTTATTAGCATACGGACACACAAATACATAAATAAATAAATGTGGAAAACTGCTGATTACACCAAAGTTTGGGTGTAACTGGGTGGCGGCTGTCGCCTGTGCCAGCCACGACCCAAATTTAGATTTAGTACAGACACTAGCACCGTGCATTATGACATTATTCATATACATAATCAAATTTTCACTACAGCTCATTTCACTTCCTTTAATTTCTGCTGATTCAGTTTGGATTCAGATAGATCAATTTGGATTTGACTCTCGTTGGGCAGTCGTCAAAAAAGTCGTCAATTTTGCATGTTTTCTCGTCAAGCTCTGACACGGTAAGGCAAATCTAAGGGTAACTTTAAATTTGCAATTTACCGTAGCTTTGCTGTTTTGAGATCCTGTTCGTGATGCCAAGTTGTTATGGAAGTTTTCTGGAAGCTGGTGAAAGAAGAACTCAGGCAGCAGCTGATGTCTTATGCAGAAGATTTAATGTTGACTTGATGCATCAAGGAGACCAGAAGGTGGAACAATATACAAACACTAACAGAGTTACATGAGACATTGTCACCCTCAAGTCTGAAGAGTTCTCCCACAGCATCCCCATATATCTTCCTCTACTTGTGTCACCCATTCTAACAGCATATCCATGAATGGCTAGAACTGCTGTCACTCTCTATGTTATATGTAGGTGATCACATCCTATTGGATAGTTAAGTTTAAATATGCATTCCTAAACCACATTGTGTCATCACGTCTTGCCACTGGTGAAATACGCAAAACAGTTGAAGTTAGTGAGAGTTGAAGTTGGTGCCTCTCTGTCTGGAGCATCTGAGTTAGATATGAAAGTCTCTAAGCATAGACACTACAATGCACTGTTAGTTGGTCCTTTATCTATAACCTGAACTTTGGTACTGTTTACAGAGAGAAGGGAGGATATATGGAATTAGCTAGGCACTTTTCTCTTAATGGTGAACAG